GCCCAAACTCCTTTGGTCCAATGACTCGGTAATTAATTAGACCATCTAAATAAGCTCGGATCATGTATTTAAAAAGGTCCACATTAGGAAATTATTTCTTAAGTTATCGTTGTATTTTATGAAACCTAAATTAGGAAGTTGGTTTCCATTTTAGGAAACTAATTTCCAAATTAGGAAACTGATTTCTAATTTAGCAAATTAATTTTCAAATTAGAAAATTGATTTTCAAATTAAGAAACCGATTTCTATTTTTGAGGACCGATTTCTAATTTAACTTTTTTTCTAAATCTTTCACTTCTTTTTATTCATGTCAATGTTTAAACTTTTGTGTATGACTCAATAGGCTTTTAGATATTTTGGCAATGTATCAAGAAGTAAGAGATACTTTTTTATCTCTTAATACATAAATCAAGATTGTCCTCTAGCAAGGCATCGTGACTACCCAATTATCTAGAAGGATTACTTAATCTGTAATAACCTTTTACATGTATGGCTTTTATATAATTCAATCCCCATATCAATTTATCATAGTGTAATCTCAAACTTAGTTTGTTGTCCGTTTGATTATGATTACACAAGTTTTATTCAATCTCTAAATGTTTTAACTCTCAAGTAAACCAATCATGTTTTATTGGTATACTTTTAATATGGCCATAGATTCTTGAGCAAACATTCATCGAAATACAATTGTGAAAACTCCTTTGTTATATAAAGAATGACATGTCTTATCTTAGTTATCTACCCGTCTCTATTTGATTCCGAATGCATCCAACAAATTATCCATGTGCAACTCGTTACTAAGCCCATCAAAATGAATCTTAAAGTACATCAACCCTCTAATGAGACAACTGCGATGATCTCAAGTCAAAGGACTACTTGTACCAATCTTATATAAGATACCCATAGACTAAACTAAATGAGTTCTCATGGTTAGTCAAGTGCGGTTATATGTTTTTTAATATTATTCATCTCTATGCTTGCTTTGACATCACCATACCTGGTAGGTGTAAGATCTTCTATTGCTATTCTATAATATGAGCATAACATACCCAAGTTTTATTGTGTATTGTCAATGTCCAATCTTGATAATACTATAAATTGAGATATTTAATGATATTATTTATGTGCATTGATGTTTATCTCCCATCTATTAATCAATCATCCGAGCAATGGATATCATATAGACTTTTATCTAATTCTATCAAATTATAAATAATATGAATTAATAGAAAGACATCTTTATTAATCGAAATGCAATTGTGAAAACTCTTTTGTCATATAAAGAATGACATGTCCTATCTCGATTATCTATCCGTCTTTATTAGATTCCTAATGCATCCAACAAATTATCCATGTGCAACTCGTTACTAAGCCCATCGAAACAAATCTCAAAGTACATCAATCCTCTAATGAGACAATTATGATGACTTCAAGTCAAAAGACTACTTGTACCAATCTTATATGAGATACCCATAGAGCTAAATCAAATGAGTTCTCATGGTGAGTCAAGTGCGATTATAAGTTTTTTAACATTATTCATCTCTATGCTTACTTTGACATCACCATACCGGTAGGTGTGAAATCTCCTATTGCTATCTTACGAGTATGAGCATAACATACCAAGTCTTATTGTATATTGTCAATGTTTAATCTTGATAATGCCATAGCTTGTAATATTTAGTGACATCATTTATGTGTATTGATGTTTATCTCTTATCTATTGATCAATCATCAAGGCAATGCATATCATATGGACTTCTATCAAATTATAAATAATATGAATTAATAGAAAGACTTCTTTATTAATATAAAAATACAATAATACAATATTTCAAACCATGTAAACATGTTAGATCTTGAGCACCTACATTAACAATAAAATTGAGATTACATCCTTAATATTTTTAGAACATATTCAAAATGATATATGTAGACCAATTCATGCACTATGTGAATCATTTAGATGTTTTATAATTTTAATAGAAGCATCCATAAGATGGTCACGTGTACACTTATTATTTACTCAAAATTTGGTGTTTTTAAATTGTTAGCTCAAATAATTCGATTACGAGTAGAATTTTCAAATTATGTTATTAAAATAATTCACCTTGATAATATTGATAAATTTACCTCTCAATCATTTGATGATTATTGAACGATCCGTTACTCATATTCGTACTAAAAAAGTTGAACGAGTCCATTGCTCATGTTCATACTAAAAAAGATTTAGCAAAATCATTTATCAAAAGGCTCCAATTGATAGCTAAACCATTACTTATGAAAATAAAACTCTATGTTTATGTTTGAAGACATGTAATCTTCTATGCAAGCAACACTTAATCGTGTTAGACCCATAAGTTATCATAAATTCTCCAACCTCCAATTGATTTCCGGTTATGAACTAAATATTTCTCATCTAAGAATTTTTTGTTGTATAGTATATGTCCTTATTTCTCCTCCACAACGTACTAAAATGGGTCCTCAAAAGATATTATAAATATATGTTGGATATGAATCCCTTTCGATAATTAAATATCCCGAACCATTAAAGAAGTTATTTTTATAGCTCGATTTTCCAACTATCATTTTGATGAAATAATTTTTCCAACACTAAGGGGAGGAAATAAGCAAAATAAGCAATTGGATTTATTGGAAAAAAAGCTTACATAGAGTACTCCATTTTACATCATCTTGATCATCGCAAAACATAACTAGAAGTTCAAAAAATATTTCTTTTATAAAATCTTACAAACCAATTGCCAAATGCATTCTCAAATCCAAAAAGAGTAACTAAAATATATGTCCTTACCGATAATGCTTCTATTATAATTGATGTCCAAGAAGAAGAGTCTATTAATGTTATAGCAAATAAATCTAAAGCATGTCCGAAGCGTAGAAGATGGATTGGTTCTAAAAATAAAATAAAATAAGGAAAATAATTAAGATGCAAATATTCACAAAATAGTCCAAGATATTTATGATAATAAGCTTTTAAAAGAAGTCTAAATACTTGAAAAAATTAAGATATTTTGATAAATTATGTCGACTCAAGGAGAAAATAGGACAAAAAATATATATATATTCATAACATTTTTACATTTAATCTTGCAATTGATATTTTAAATAAAAATAAGGATCCATAGTCTAAATCTACTAAAGAATATCGAGATAGATATGATTAACCTAAATGAAAAGAGAAATCCAAGCATAATTATTTTCTCTTACAAAACGAGTTATTTTTTAACTCATAGTCAAAACACTTGAAGATCTTAAACTAATGGAATATAAATAGGTATTTTTTTCAAAAACAAAATAAGAAAAATAAGATTATGAGATATAAAGCAAAACTTATAGCACAAGAGTTTTTGCAATGACTTGACATTAATTATGAGAAGACATACTCTTCTATAATAGATACAATTATATTTCTTTATTTCATTAGCTCGACAAAATATATGAAAAAATTCATATGCATGTATTTAATAGATGTAAGCACAACTTATTTGTTCACATTATATATATATATAATGTGAACAAATAAGTTGTGCTTACATCTATTAAATACATGCATATGAAGTTTGTGATATATTTTCTCAAGCTAATGAGATAAAGAAATGTAATTATATATATATATATATATATATATATATAAGTCCTAGAATGACTTGAGATGCATGAAGCAAATAATACACATTCTGAAAAAATAAATTCAATTAAATTATAAAGATATCAATAAAAATTATTTTAATATTTTTTTTATTATTTTAAAAAAATGATAGTAAAATAATAAAAAATTTAAATGTATTTCCCGAGAGAAAAGAAAAAAAAAAAAAAGGCGCAAAAAGCAAAAAGACCTCAGCAACCAATAGCCCAATAAAAAATTCAAGATTTCCCCGAAGCTTTAAGCTCTCCATGCTCTAGGCTTGCAGCAAATTTCAAAATATATATGTACATATACATCGATGATGATTTCATTGTTTTTTCTTTTTAAATGTATTTCATATTTGCCTATTAGAAATACATTTAAGAGGCAATGTAGTATAAAATAGCACTAGAATAAAGATATACATTCATATTTCATATTTGTTGGGATATCAATTTATTTATTAAAAAAAAAACAATGAAATCATCTCCACTCCTGTCATCACTCTTTAGGCTCCTCCAAATATTCTTACACCAGAGGATTGACAAACCTCAAATCTCTCTCCATTTATATTATTACTTATATATATATATATATATATATATATATATATATATTCTCAGCTACAAATTCCACTTCCTTTCCTTTTCTTTTCATTTAATTAAGAGGAGTGGAATAACTAAGAAAAGATAAAAAAGAAAAAAACAGAGAGAGACACATAAAAGCCTCTCTTGTAGAGAGAGACAAAGCATGAGCTCTTCTTCCTCTATTTCCATTTTAACAATTCCTCTCTTTAGATCTTAGCTTCTCTGAAATTTCCCATCTGGGTCCTCTCCAATATGGTAAATTATCAATCTTTCACTCTTCTTTTCTTCTGATTTCTATCGAGCATTATCTGGGTCTTGATCCACATCAATTACTATGCTTTTTTTTTTTTTTTGTTATTCTTTTGGATCATCAGGTATCATGGATTGGCTTTTGATTGGTGCTGGAAGGATCAGATGGTCCTAGATTGGATTTGTTAGACACCCACTTTGCTTTTTTGACTGCGCACCGATCAGATTCTATCTAAATTATAGTGAAAGGTCTCCTTTTTTGGCTCGTCTGATTGTTCTTATTCACAGATTGATCTGTTTCGTTTTTTTTTTTTTTTTTTTTATTGATAAACGTTGAGTGTTTTCATCTATCATCTTTGCAACTTGTGTAATTCATATTTGTTTTAGTACTATAGAAGCTAATGATTATTAGATTCTCACCTGAATTATAAATTTTATGTTTTGAACTACTTTTGTCTTTTGAGATATTGGTATTGGCAATTGATGAGGCAATTTGTTGTTATGGATTCTTATAGCAAGAGATGGAATCAGATCTTGGTAAGCTCTTCATTGGTGGGATTTCATGGGACACTGATGAGGAACGTCTTAAAGGATACTTTAGCAAGTATGGGGAAGTGGTTGAGGCAGTGATCATGAGAGATCGAGCTACAGGCCGTGCCCGTGGCTTTGGTTTTGTTGTCTTTGCAGATCCTACTGTTGCCGAGAGGGTCATCATGGAGAAGCACGTGATTGATGGCCGCACGGTGAGTAGCTTGATTCCAAATATCTACTATGCATTCTGAATATATCTGGTGCGATGCTTTCTTGCTTTAATTTATCTCATGTTTGTTTAAATGTCCAAATGCATGAGTTAAAAATACTCTTTCTCCCTAGTTTAATTCTGAGTTCATATTGTAAAATTAATATCAGGACAAAAAATATATTCTTATTTGAGTTTAGCTGCAGAATTTTTTGAAATTTATCAACTTCAAGTTTAGCACTCTGAAGTGAAGAGCGAAAGAAAATTTATGATTCTAGTCTCTAACGACTAATGGGAAATGTAAATCCAATTTGGTCTGGTGTAGAAATTAACTCTTATTGTATGCTTGAAACTGAGAATGATATGGAACTGCTTGATTTTAGATACTGTACTCTCAATTTTTCAGGTTGAAGCAAAGAAGGCTGTTCCTAGGGATGACCAGCACATTTTAAGTAGAAACACTAGTAACATTCATGGTTCTCCAGGTCCTGGACGCACCAAAAAGATTTTTGTTGGAGGCCTTGCATCTACAGTTACAGAGAATGACTTTAAGAAGTACTTTGAGCAGTATGGTATTATTACTGATGTTGTAGTGATGTACGATCACAATACGCAGAGGCCAAGAGGCTTTGGCTTCATCACTTATGATTCAGAAGAAGCAGTGGACAGAGTTCTGCATAAAACATTTCATGAACTCAATGGTAAAATGGTTGAGGTCAAGAGGGCAGTCCCAAAGGAGCTATCACCAGGGCCCAGTCGGAGCCCTCTGATAGGGTATAACTATGGTTTGACTAGGGCCAACAACTTTCTTAATGCATATGCTCAGGGATATAATATGAGCTCTATTGGAAGTTTTGGAATGAGGATGGATAGTAGGTTTAATCCACTTGCCACTGGTCGAAGTGGATTTGCTCCATTTGGCACCACTGGTTATGGGATGAGTATGAATTTAGAGCCAGCCTTGAGTCCAAGCTATGGTGGAGGTTCCAACTTTGGCAATACTCCTGCATATGGGCGGATCTCAAGCCCCTATCATAGTGGGAATCCAAGCAGGTACAACACCCCAATAGGGTATGGTGTAGGGAATGCAAGAAATGATTCTCTCTTGAGCCCTACTACTCGGAATGTCTGGGGAAATGGGGGACTCAACACTGCCACAAATCCTGCCAGCCCTGGTCCTTTCTTGGGCTCCGGAACTGGAAGTTTTGGAGTGTCATTTGGGAATAGTGGAGCGAATTGGGGCACTTCTGCTGTTTCAGCTCATGGTGGAGGAAGTGCTTCTGGCTACACTACTGGCAGCATGGGTTATGGGAGTGGTGACAGCAATTATGGTTTGGGCGGGGCAGGATATGCAAGAAACAGTGGCACTGGTGTACCACCAACATCATCATTCTCTGGTTCAACTGGTGGTTATGAGGGGCCCTATGGGGACCTTTATCGCAGTGGTTCTGTTTATGGTGATTCAACTTGGCGATCTGCTACCCCTGAGCTAGATGGTTCTGGGTCATTTGGCTATGGGCTCGGAGATGTAGCTTCAGATGTTAGTAAGAGTTCTGAGGGTTATATTGGGAGTTATGGTGTTACAAGTAGACAATCAAATAGAGGTAATGCTTCTCTTTGAACATTCTTTGAAATAGCTTAGGTTGTTAACATAGCTAATAGAACTATGTATACATATATGCCAGTGCAAATGGACATGTGTGTGCAAGTGTCACAAACATTTATATTGAGTGAAAACTCCTAGGAGTAGAATGCTCACTGGAACATCAAAAGAAGTCATTTGATGTTTGTGTGCTATTATTTCTTCTGCATTGACAAATTCATAGGAAAAACTCAATTAAGTTAGCTTATAAAGTAAAAGAAGGTTACATCTCCTCATGGCACGATGGTATCCACCTCCCTTTAAAGATATGTCCTTATCAATGATAAAATCTTTGGATTGAAATCGTAGCTTTATTGCCCTTAACCTGCATCTTTATTGAAAAGGATCTACACTTCTGCCTTTAGTTATGCATGATATGTATATGATATGCCGTAGTGACTGTTAACTAAATTTTTTACACGTGTTAAATCTACATGGATGTTTTTTATAATTATTCTGACTGACCTTGTCTTGCATATAATCATTAAATTCGTAACGATCTGCATTAATGGCTTATCAGAACTTCACTTTTTATTTCAAGATTTTTAAGCAATTGGTAGTCCTACTAATACATTTTTGAACTCTCTTATGTGGGATGTGTGGGATGCTATTGGATACACAACTGGGCAGAAGTTATAATTTTCATTGCTCTCATTCTTTGCTTCTGGAGTGAAAGAGGCCATCTTTAGTCCTATGCTATTTTTTTTTTTTTTTTACTTAGTGGCCATATGTACATATCTATCTAAACATGTTTGTTTTCATAGAAAACACTGACTTGTACAAAAATGCATTTGAGTAATTTGAGTTTCGAAAGTAAAAAACTAAGGTGCATTTTTTAATATGCCATTGCCCATGAATTGCACCCAGTTTTTAGCTTTTTCGGTTACTGATGTTTGATACCTAATTGCTAACCTCTGTTGCTAATTTCACTTTTTCTTTTAATTGGTACTTGCTTCAGGAATTGCTACCTAGGAGATCTGTTAATGGATATCACATGATAATTGTAGGTGCAGGAATCTGGTTAAACAGGTGAAGAATTGTGAATTTCATACGTCTACCTCTTGATTACGTCTCTCTCTTGATTACATCAGCTTATAAAGAAAGAAATTGATCGTATAGAGCTAACGAGGGTTCTTGATTTGCATTATACACATTGAGAGAAAGCAGTTACAAGGGATTTTGTGTAAGGTTTGAGATTTGATTTTTTTTTTTTTACTTTCTAAATTAGTCAAAGGCTTAGGTTCCATTCTTGGCATTTGAGTGAGGTGTAAAATCAGATTGCGGGATATATACTCAGGAAGATTGGTTCCATAAATGTATGTGCATCTCTGGTGAGGTGCCTCCTGTGGTAGTGGTTGGTCAAAAAAAAAAAAAAAGGTAGGATTTTCTTTCATTTTTTCTTTTGCCTGCCAAGGGTGCTGGTTGTTGTTAGTATCTTTTTTTTTTTTTCATATCTTTATTTGGGATTTGTCTCTCCCACATTGTATTTGAGGTTCTGCCTTATCTGCTAGTGTGAAACATTATAAGGGATGCTCTTTTATGATCCCCAGAAATAAGTTACGGAATATTCTGATTCATTTTTTATTAATTGACAGTACTATCAAAGCAAATCTTAACACTCACATTTTATTTGAAACAGACTTAAATTTTGTTTCTATTTGCTGATACTACACTGATATGAGATTATAATTAGGTGCTGAGCATAAAATATATTTATTATCTGCCCATGTTTAAGTTTTTATGAACTTAAACTGTTTATTTGCTGCGGTGATCTGTTATTGTTAGTATTGTTTTGAACAATGGATGATTTTATTTGATCTTTGTAACAATGGTTTTACGGTGATGCATTTATAGCGTCTTTGGTTGCATCTGTCATGGGTTCCATCTGCACCTAAAACTAAATATTCTGATCTTTAAGGCTTCTCTGTGTGGTCGAACTATCCCTTATCCTAACCTGGATGGGACGGGATGGGACGTGTCTTACATGTGTTCTAAAATCTCTTCTTCTCTTCGTGTCATTTTTAAAGAACTTGAAACCAGATGCTAATGTACTATTGTATGTAGATGTGGTCCTCAGAAAGCCCTCACCCACGACCCAAATCCTTGACTCTCAGTTAGAAATGTGTCAACCAGTGACTTACCTATGCCTGAGGTTGTAACGTTATTCGGTTTAAACCAAATCTCTTTATCGAATCAAATTGAAATATCAATTTTGATTTTTTTTTAAATTAAAAAAAAATCGAATTGATATTATTTTGGTGTTCAGGTTTGGTTTAGATTTTTTTTTTTTTTTTCTCAAAATTTGGTTAAATCGAAAACTTTTAAAGCTTAAACATTCCTTTATATTAGGGTTTAGCTAGGACTTACCATGCAATTATGTTTTACTTGTTTCACTTTTCAAACCCTTTATACTAAATAAATAATCTCTCTCGATCGAAACTTACAAGGCTCTAATACTAATTGGGATTGGATTGTTAAAAATTTAAATTTATTAAAAGAAGAAAGCTTATAGCAGTTAACAAATGAAGTGAAAGAGAACAACAAATAAGGATAATCAAGCTCGCATATATATTGATTGAACCTTCAAGCGAATGGTTACAAGAGGATGGTTCTATAAAACAATTTCACACTTACATTTTTTCTTACAAGAGATTGTAAAAATTTTGAAACTAAAAACTTTTTATGCCTGGCAAATGAAATTGAATGCAATTATATAGAGATGGCTTTACAAGAAGACCAAAAAAAAAAAAAAAAAAAAACACAACAACAACAACTTTACAGGTGGATGGCTTAAAAATAATGAGCTTAAAACATCTTTTACGAGTAGCGTAAAACAAACAAAAGTATAAAGTAAAGTATGTCTAATGGTCGATAGTTGTGGGAATAAAGGACTAGCATGTGGCTTAAGAATCTCCGAGTGACAGACAATTTTTCACTTTTCAAAAGCCGAGGGACCACATTTGATCGAAAGTGTGATGATAACATAATTAGGTATCGTGCCGGATAACTTTGTGAAAAGTTGAGGGGCCATATTATGCCGAAAGTGAAATTAATCGAAGGGATCAAGATGAGCTTTAAGAGTGTCTATCATGTCGACATGTTTATCCAAATCTTCATAGGGTCATATGAATCTTAAAAAAGAGACTTATTAGTCTTTGTATCTTGCTCGTTTTAATCTCTTCTTTAGAAGTAGAAGAAAGAAGCTCTTTGAAGAGTGTTTTTACAAAGGATTTTAGAGCTTCGGGACCACTTTGATTTAGGTAGAAGAATTTACCTTCTTCAAAATTGTACTTTGCCCACAACTTAATTAGTGGTCTTGTGAGAAGGTGGAAGAGATCTATTAAGATTCCTCCTCTGCTATCAATAAGCATTGTTTTATAATATAATTCATTTAACAATCCAGAAACCTAGTAAAGAGATACAAAAAAGATTAGATTGGGTAGATGATTCTTTTTAGGATGGGCAACTATAAAGCCTTTAAAGTGAGAGGCAACGAGATAAAGGCATACGGATAGGAAAGAGGTCTCAACAAGAACACCATTCCTAAAACTAAATAGGAAAGGATTATGGATAAGTCTTAAGCTAGAACTGAATAAACTAGTTGTGCTTTAGAGGCTTGTTATCATAAATGAATACTCTCACACATCAATGTCATCAAAATAGGAGTACCTCATTAGGGAATAAGCATAAGCTTTTAGAGATTTCTTTGTATGAATATCTTTTCTCCAATTTGAAGCGAAAGGATCTTAACAATAGGGAGCTTGGAATAAGCTCATTCATTTCGATTTCTATCTTGATTGAAAAAGACAGTTGAGCCGACCTTAATCAAAATGGATTGATAGTAAAGTATTTTATTTTTTCCCAAATTAGAAGGCGGATGCTTGTTTAGCATGACATCAACTTCCTAATAAGGTAACATGTCTTTTACTTCATCTTTAAGAGGATAGAATTGGATTAAAGGTCCTTAGATGTAAGGATATTAGGTTTTACTTGCATTATTAGGCCAATCCTAAGATATAGGCTTTACGGGATAGCCTAGAAACTTCATCATCAATAGAAGAGGTTAGCTATGAAGCTAATCTCCTTTTCCTTTAAGGGTTGGGAGATCGTTTGAAGTCTAGAGACATCCGGATTGCTTTCAACTCTCAATCCGTACAAGAATTCTCTAGTTAGGAAATTATGCAATGAATTCAAGTCTCCTCTAATGTGCTTGATATCAAAATCAAAGACAAACAAAATGATCTATCATCGATCAAGTATCTATTTATATATAATATTTTTAACATCTTTAATTAAGATGTCTTTAGCAAATTTATAGTCGATCCACAATAAGAATTTTTTACTAACTAAGTCACTTTCAAATTTAATGATGCACAAGACCATGAGCGGAATCTCTTTTTTAGTGGTTGAATAATTCCGCTAAGCAAGTTCCATATTTCTAAAGTAAATCTTACTAACTATTCTCTACTCCTCTTGAAATTTTTGTTTAAAAATCCCACTATATCTTATTTTAGAGGCATCTCGTTTTAACTATTTTGTAGGTATTGAGATCAACGATTATCTTATGGATTGGACGAGTGTGCTCATTAGTCTAAGGCGAGAGGGTTTTTCCTAAGTCTGTTGAAATAAGGGCTTACAAGCTTAGGCTAAGTCTTTGTAGAATTCACCCATGTAGTTTAGGTTTTCTAAGAACCTTTGTAATTGATTTTTATCTTTAATTTCATCCGGGAATTTGTGTGCAAATATAATGGCTCTATCAATTGAGATTACTTAACCTTTGAATATATTAAACCCTAATAACTCGATATTAGGTTTGGAAAGTTTTATCTTTTTAGACAATATGATCAAGCTAGCTTTTTTAAGTGGCTGCTAGGAATGCCTTCAAATGCCAAAATGCTTATTTATTGATTCGAGAAGATCGAACATCATCGATGTAAACAATAACGAGATCCTGTTGAAACTTTATAAGGATATTTTTA